CGCATACGCCACCGACAGCGATGCCTTTGTCTATGGTTAGGCACAAGTAAAACGTACGTATGTATGTAGGAATGGACCTTTGTAAATATGTATGTATGTATTGTGCGGGCGATTACTCAGACATACTCGGACTTAAACAGCACAGGTGTGCGCTCTCTCGCACATCGCTTAGCGGGAGCTGAAAGCAATTAAGACTTGGAGTTGCAATGAAAAAACGAATCGATTTTCAAACAATTAATGTATTAGACCAAAAAGGTGAACTTACATATTTACTCTTGTTTTCATGGCGCTGCAGCAACACGCTCACCAGCCGCAGCCACAGCCACGGGCGTTAGCCAATTTGGCCGAAGTCGCGACAGGCAATAACCCGCAGCCTCACACGTCTGGCCTTTACAGATTGTTTTTGTGACGCTGTCGATCATAGGAAAATACACAGAGTTACATACATACATGCAAGTAAGTAAATAATAAGAAATATAATAAAAATAGAACTTAATGCTTTATTGAACTGATTTGTTTTTTTATTAAGTTTGCCTTTGTTCCTGTATTGCTTTGCTTGGGCGTACGTTAACGGATCTCGTATGGCTTTGTTGTTTTTCTTGATCTTTATTTGTGCTCTGCTTGCAGCCTATTTAAATAGAGTTGGTAGAAGTTACGACTACTTCTGAGGCCAGCGACTTCAGTCCATTCGAATTATGGAGCATTACACGTGAAGCAGATATGTAGGTAAAAAGATGTCACTAATTCCGATTTTAGTCTTAGTCTTAGGACTTTGAAGTTTTTTGCTACTCTAACCCCATTCCCCAATTTTAAAAAGTTACAAAAATTTTAAAAATAAGCTGCATGTGTACTTCTTTAAGTATCTTTTTAATAAAATTTTTGGATATTAAAAAACTTTTGACATAAATAAGTAATTTTTAAGCAAAAAATACAACCGACTTCAATGCTCAAATAAAAATTTAGGCGTACCGCTAATTTCTTCATGGTCCAATGATCGGAACTAAACCAAAAAATGTAGTATGGGACCAGCGTTGCCATTTTAGCCGTTTTCCGGCTAGATTTAGCCGATTTTGATAGCAACTAGCCGGAGAAAATTCGATCTAGCCGGCAGCCGATTTGTTAGCCGGTTTGTAAAAAAAAGTTAGCCGTTTTTAGCCGATTTTCCTATTTGCCTAATTTTCAGGTGCAAAAAGTAAACAAGTTGTTCGAAAGCAATAATGCAGACCCAATGAAGATTTTTAATGAACTCAATGTTTTACTTTCGCATCTATGCTCCCTAGTGGTTATTAGC